AAGCTGGGTAGAGTATCATCGGGGTCCTGGGATAAAGAAAACGGCAAAAACGTGTAATTTTTCTTCGGTAATTGTTCACACGGAATGGTGTTTGTCAAATGACAGGATAGTCTGGAATCGGGGCTCGGCGCTCTTTATCCGACAAGGGACGATGTTTATCTTTTCGGGCCATGAAGCAATATAGATCAAGAAACTCGTACAATATTGTTTATTAACCCCTCGACGTACGATTTAATTTCAAATAAATTTTCAAATCTGTACTATTTAATATCGTTGAAATTTGTTCGTACAAGAAATGGCCACGGGAAAGAATAAATTTGTTTTACGAGTACCTCGAGAATGTAAAAATATGGTGATTTTAATAGATAAAAGACTTGATGAGTAGTAAGTAGCCTCATGATTGTGAAACATGTCGTCAAGAACTTCTATCGATAAAATTCAACAAAATAGTTCTATTTCGTTTTATGCTTCGATTAACCAGTCAGCTGTGTTTGACGACTACATCCGTTGTGATTTGTTATTTAAATTGTAATTTTAGCGAAAACTAATATACAATATATATTCGTAAATTTCAATACGTTCAGAATTTTTGGAGGCCAAAACGAAATAAAACAAACGAGTGAGCGCTCTGAAAAGAGGTCACCACGGCTGACTGGTTGAGAGACAATATCGCAAGACGCTCAAAGAAGAATTTAAACGCAATCACCGAGAATCTATACGTAACATTATCAAAGCTCGCCATAGCTAACCGGATTAAGTGAATTTATTACGTGTTGCATTCTACTTCCGTTGCCCGCCTTATCCATATTTTAACGACAGTATCGATATAACCATCGATAGCTCGTCGATAATCGTTAACGGCATCTTCGCCGAGGGCTTTCGAAAACATCGGGAAATGCAAAGCATCTTGGCTAATAGCAGTGCTTCCTCGGGCTCTGTTGTATTCGTTAAAACGAGCCGGGATAAGTAAAAAATATCAAGCTCGGGAATAAATTAAGCGTCGCGAGTGGAGAAAACCACGAGCGAGACGGTAACAATGTCGTCGAAACTGTTCGAATAGAAAAGTCGCCGCGGAATTCCGTAATTCCGTAATTTCGTAGTTTATAGAAACCCAAAGTTCCGCGAAACGTCTTCCCGTTCGGCCATATTTATTCGCCTCCCCCCCCGGAAACAAAGATGGCGGAAACGAGGACGGGCGCGCGTCGCGGCGTGAGAGAAGTTGTCACGCATCGGGCCAGGAACAAAGCCGCAATTCCGCGCGGGAGTCGGAGAACGCGGCGAGTCGCACGGGCAGAAAAATTCACCGTCGTTGTCGTTGTACAGATGCACCAACGGGCGCCATCGGTCGATGCGCCAGAAGCGGAACCGCGCCGATAAAAGCGGCAGCGGCGTTCCGCCCCCTCCGGGCGTTCGCGGAATAATTGGATCGGTTTTTGTAGCTGTGAATCACGAGCCACGACAATCGGAGGAACAAGACTTTTTCTTCTCCCTCGCGGCTTTTCCGGGCCAGATATTGCGGCCCGCTTCGTTCCACTCCCTTATCTTCGAGGAGTGCCACTTTTTTTTTACTCCCCTCGTCGAGGAACACCCCGGCGACGATCTACTCCCTTCGTTCGTAACGCGTCTCTGCCTCGCTTCGATCTTCAGCTTTTTATTTATACGGTGTATAGTTACTTACAAGATACACGTTTCTATAAACTTGTATATAAAAAATATTATATTCCTATTTACTGCTTAATTTTCCTATCTCTATCTATAATTTGCTTTTTTAATTAACTACTCTCTCCTACTCTTTACTCTAGTTTGTATATTATTCTGAACGATCGCAATTTTTACTCCCATCGATCTTAGATTTAGTTTTTTATTTATACGGTGCATAGTTGCTTGCATACAAGACACACCACTCATCAGGTTTTCATTTTTCTTAGATTGTACCACAAAAAATTTTTCAACTTTTCTATAAACTTGTGTATAAAAAATATTATATTCCTATTTACTGCTCAATTTTCCTATCTCTACCTGTAATTTGCTTTTTTAATTAACTACGATTTTTGCTCCTCACCCTCCTCTTCTAATCTTTACTCTAGTTTGTATATTATTCCGAACGATCGCAATTTTTACTCCCTTCGATCTTAGATTTAGTTTTTTATTTATACGGTGCATAGTTGCTTGCATACAAGACACACCACTCATCAGGTTTTCATTTTTCTTAGATTGTACATGTATGTATGTATGTTTCTATAAACTTATGTATAAAAAATATTATATTCCTATTTACTGCTAAATTTTCCTTGTCTTGTGGCGTCGCCTCCCATGCTCGCCACTAGAGGGATCGCGCTCTCACAAGCGCTCGACCGACCCCTCGGTTGCTATATCTATTTGACTTCAGTGATACGTAATATAAATTTGGTCCAAACTGAAAAGAAGTTTCTCAGAAGTTTCGATGCATTTTAGAAAATAGGTTTTTATGTTATTTTCCTACATACGGACCAAAATTAGTCAAGTATATCGTACCTGATAGAAATTAAGATACCGCAATCTGTATACTCTTAACAGGATATTATATTATACAATATAATACACCATAGGGAATAAAACTAGACATAATAGTAGGTAAGCTTCTAGTAAGTAGACACTACTGAAGACTGCAGGCAAAAGTATTAAATATTTTCATATTAGTATGTTTATATTTTTTGTGTATAATTGATATGTAAATAAAAATGTTTAGAAAGAAGAGTTTTTCGATGCAAAAAGCCTGAACTTGCATTAATTTTCTTGGAGTCTTTTCAATAAAGCATTTTTGGACATAAGTTCGTACGAACTGTGACGTCGCCACCAGAGGGGTCGCGTTCTCACAAGCGCTCGACCGACTCCTCGCTTGCTCTATACAGGGTGGTCCACGCAATTGTTTCAAGTCATAACTCCGTTATTATTGCATTTACGCAAAAATGCCAAAGGAGAAAGATAAATGGTTCGAAGAGCACTACAATCTGTAGGCCTTTAAATTTTTTTTAGATGCAGCAGTGCATGTGCAATTAACAATTGCATCATTTCTTTAAATAGAAATGCATATTTTTTTTTACACAGATCGATTCTTCTGTTCACTCTACGTAAAAAATGATTGGGGTACCATGGCAAAAAAATTATTAGATCTCGAGATATTTTCAAATTATTCCGAACGATCGCCTCGATCTCGCATTCGAACGAAGATTGTCGTGGATAGGCCACGGCGAACCGAATCCGGGGAACAGGAAATACGACCGGGATAAACCGCGAAGCCGGGGTATAGAACAGCGAAGCAACCGAGGAAATTTCGAGTATACAAAGAAGGGAACAGGAAATTACAAAATAAAAGACGGGAACGACGTTAATTTACGAAGTTCTCCGGGCCGTATGCTGCTTTGGTGCCGCGCCGTTAATCTCGGATAATGCATACTAATTCTCGATTCAAAAGTAGTTTTCCAACCGATGATCTACGCGCGCGGAAACTTTGAGAATTCATTTTCAGTTTCACCCGGTGCTCGAAAAAGCCCTCTTCTCCTCGCGCGAACAGCGCGCTGTCGTCGGGAATGATAGATTCGTAAAGTCGTAAAGATTCGCGGTTCCGGTTCCAGTTCCGGAGATAATTCTCTTTATCGCGAAGACTGCCCTTAATGTCGCTCCGATTCCGTAGTTAATGCCCGTCGCGTTTAAAAGTAACGAGGCTAAAAAGCCCGGGTAAAATGAAATCGAATCGCGGCATAGAGATAAGCGACAGGGAACGAGAGCACACGGTACTTTTATTGCTTTCGTTGTTCTTGGCCGACTCTCTTCTTTGAAGCGATGCTTCGCGAGCCACGTATACGTGCCGTAGATTGATATTGGGAACCAGCTGCGCAGATTTTGTAATTGCGATTCTCGTTTGCTACTCGGATAATTTACGTTCGAAAGATTAAAATCGAAACATAGTCAACGACGATAATTAACGTTTAATAACAGCACTGTTACCCGCACGTAATTAGTAAACAATTTTCGTGTAATATTAACACACGAAATTGCGTATCAGGAATCCTTCGATCGCGGTCGAAAGTGACCCGAATTCCATTTGGAATAATATTTCTAATAATTAACTATACCTTCAATATTTCGCCTCTCTGGGATCCACTTTGCGGGATGAATTTGTAGAAACCCAAGTTTCTAGCGAACATTGGTTTCTCAGGCTTGGACATTGATTAAAGAACAATACGCTACGTTAATGTATTAATCGACCGTCCCTTTGATTCGTTAGAACTCTGAAAACGAACCCTGGACAACGCTAGCTCGCGCAACCCTCTTTTCGTCGCCGCTGTAGATTCACCCTCCCACGCGTTCGCGAAACAAGAATCAGCCTGTGTCGAGATTTTGCAGTGAAAAGGCTCGGCTTTTCAGCTAACAGCGCCGCGTGGTATGTGTACAGCTACACGGGCCATCGCGTGGAAAGCGGAGCCGTGGAAAAATGCAACGTTACATTGGATCAGCGGAAGGTTAAAAGGCAATCCAATGGAATTGTTCCCTCGTTGCGGGAAACGGGGCGCAAACACGCGTGAGAATGGCTTCGTATTCGCGGCGTCGAACGATTCATTGACCGCCACGATTATTGCTGTCACGCTTCGATCGTTTGCAAGAGTTCTCTTCCGTTCTGTGAAGAACTTCGATACTCCCGGGGGAGATCCCGAGCCCCTAAAACGCACAGAAATTTTTAGCGTTGGGACTGAGCATTGCATGCATGCATTTTTAATGAAAATTTGCAAAGGTCGGTACTACCTGAGGAGGACACTCGTTTATTGCAAACCGTCAAGCTAAGAACAGCATTTAATTAAATACATACTTAGGTCGAAACTCTGTCGTATTTATTTAGTAAATAAATATTCAACATTTAGTCAATACCAGAAACGTCCCTTGTATTTCTCCAAACTTATCTAAATCGCTCGTGGGCCCCTGAAATGACGATTAAAGCGTTAACGGTCGATTTCCCGTTCCAGACACGAACGCGTTGAGAATGTTGGAGCTGGTGGTTCCCCAGCACGTGGTCCGCGGCCAGAACATTAAACTGGAGTGTAACTTCAACCTGGACGGCGAGACCCTGTACTCGGTGAAATGGTACAAAGACGGGAACGAGTTCTACCGATACGTGCCACAGGACAGGCCGCCAGTGCTCGTCTTTCAGCTGTCAGGTGTTACGGCGGACGTAAGAATTACTTTCTATTGATTTTTTTCTTGTCTCGTGCCAATGCACCACTCTCTACGCTTCTATCGCCGTCACGGTTTCTATTTAAAGCGCGTTCCTTTTCACCCGCGTTGTCCTGGACTTCACGGCACTTCGGAGCGTCTTCTCCCTCGGGATGGACGAAATAAAATCTTTCGAGATCGAGACCCGCGGGAAAGAATACAAATTTCAGAGAGATTTCTTTCGATCAAGGAACGCCGAGGACGGCGCTAGCTGGCCGCCATGTTGTTCTACGAACGTCGGTCGAGAGACCAACGATTCGTAGAACGGCAGTAGGCCGGGTTAATTACACGGGGTTAATTGGCTAGGATGCTTCTAGGAGTCACGTTCTTTTTTCCAGATTCACAATTCGACCGAGAGATCGGTCGTCCTCTATTCCGTGAACTTAATGAGCACCGGGAGATACAGATGCGAGGTGTCAGCGGAGGCGCCGTCGTTCCAAACGGTATCCGATCACTCGGACATGCTGGTAGTCGGTAAGAAAAGTCTACAAATCGTTGCAGTCGATCTTCCCACCTTGTTAGACGGCGAACGTTTTTGCGCCGGCAGTCGCGATGCTGGCTGGTTTTTCGTTCGAACGGTCCGCGAGATTGTTCATTGTCCGTAACGATCGCAAAATCGATACAATTCCTCCGCGAGTAAAAATACCATCCGCTCTTTTTCAGCCCTGCCGGAAGACGGACCCATTATCACAGGGAGGCCGGGAAGGCTTCGTTATCAGGTCGGTGACGTGGTACGATTCAATTGCACTTCGGCGAAGTCGAAACCAGCTGCCATACTCAGCTGGTACATCAACGGGGAGGCCGTAAGTGACTTACGTGGAACCCATGCCGCTCGTGGTAACGTTTAAGCATGTCGTGGCGATAAAATTTCGTGGAAAGACCGAGCCACGTTCCACATTCGTGTGCCCCGTTCGTTAAACTTCCTTTCGTTTGCTTTTTCTGCCACTGTTCCCTTCCACGACGAGAATACAATATCAGCTACGTCCTGCTCAACAACTAAAACGATATTTCAAACGATTATTCGTCCACCCCGCGTATCCTCGTTGCATCATGATTCTTTCGGGTACCTGAAAACTCTTACGTCCCTACTATTTCCGAACCGTAGAATTTATAGAACCGGTCGCCATAACTACCCCCGGCCAGCCCGTCCGTCAATAAGTTAGCATCATTCGCGTGCGTGTTTCCCGCGTTCTCATGATCGTTTAGGAAGGTCGTGCTCTCTCGAGAGCAGTGAAACAGGGTCCAAGCGTCGTAACTTACTCGCGACGCCTCGAATTGCAAATTTGCCCACCCCTCCGCGTCCCCGGGACAAAAAAAAGAATGTATACGCGTCTAGACACGCGGCCGGGTATAGTTTGTACACGGAGACCAGCGGAGAGTTTTTGGTTGCGTCAGGTCGACACACAATACTTGAGAGGGCCTCACATCACCGAGGTGGATCGCGAGGGTCTGGAGACGGCCGTGCTCGGGCTGGAGTTCCGTCTGCGTACGAAGCACTTCAAGAGGAGAGACTTGAAGATCAAATGCCTGGCGACGATAGCGACCGTATATTGGAAATCGAACGAGCTCAGCATAGAGGGTGAAAAGCCCCTAAAGATGCCGGAAATGGAGAGCAGAGAGACAAGGGCGCAAGGCCACACGCACGCGGAGCATATCTTAGGAGGTAAAGGCGACGGGAAAGGGAAAGGGAAAGGGGGTCGTGTTGTATGACGTAATTCGCGGGAGGACCGGAAGGGCACGGTTCCTCGCGTCGAAAATGCAGAATAATGTTTTATCGTCGGAGGCTTCGTACCTCGAGGAAAAAACGACTTCGTAGATACGCGTGCACTTACCCTGAGAGCCTGCGGTGATTCTCATCCGAGCGTCAGTGTCTCTCAAATTGTCGTTCTTTTCTGGTAACAATTTATTAGCTAACGGAATAATGCATCGCTGTCGCGAAGTCGTTTCTCGATAACGAAACACTTTGATTTTACTTCTTTCGCAAACTTAAAGTAACTTCGATCTTAAACCAATCCTTGTCCTCGCCAATATTCCTCCGCGTTCCCAGGAGTCCCTTTTCCCCGTCCACGGCGGCCCTTAACGCCGGAACGACCCCGCGATGCTGAAAGATTAATTTGAAAGATCGATGACGGGAGAAAAAATTTGTTGGCCGGGTAAAATCAGCGAAATATCGTTGGAAAAACTATGACAACGTGTCTGGGGCACATAATACGTCGACGGCGATATCGTCGCCGTTCGTTTGCCGACAATTTGCTGACGTACGTTGCATGGCCAACAAATGTCAGGCAAACCGGTGCAGCTGCGGATGCAATTCCCTCGCCAATATCGATCGAATCAAGAGAGGTCGCGATACGTTCCGATTTTTCGTTCGAATTTCCCCCGGACGAGTTTTCATCCTTTCCTTTCTTCTAAATCACGAATTGTCCCGACTCGAAACTAATACGGACCGTTAGTCGTATTTTAATAACGAGAGGATGTCTTTTCCAGGAAGCGGAAGCAGCACGTTAGCACCTTGCATCTTGCCGGTGATAACTAGTTTATTTATTCTACGATAAGAAGAGGGGACAGACCGACGCGTCGTGTCCTTCGTGCTCATCCTTTTCAGGCTTCTAAAACCAAGAATCGTGTGGAGATCACTGTGTACTAAATTAACCGTGTTGTTTCTATTTTTTATAATCGCAGTTAGTGGAGTTAGCGAAGACATAGACCAGAGAATATACTTATCAGAGTACACACGTCAATACGTTAGAGTGTTAGAAATGGCGAAACGTGTAAATTCTTATTTAACGGATCGGTCCGTAAGTCTGTGCGTATCCTTGTTCCGACTGTCCACCATTTTGTTTCTTTCTTTTATCAGATCTCTGATCGCTTAACCGTGACTTTGAAGTTATCAAGGAGCAATTGTCGAAACATCCGCGATAGCTGGAACAAATACGCGCACAGATTTATGGCACGAGTCGACAGAAGATGAACGATCGTGGTTGTTTCAAAGTTTTTATTCAGTCGTTGACATAATTCAGTGGACAGAGTTTAAAAAACAGTGCAAATTTATAAATCTATGATCGACGGAGTATCTTCAGGTATTCGAGAGTGCGTAAACTTTCGCCCTGCGTACGTTTTTCGTCCCCTCCCCCCACTCCTTCATCTTTTATCATTAAGGGAGTCACGAGCGTGGTACGAACGAGTAATAATCATTTGAACGGCTGTATTGACGAAGAATGCGATGAAGAGTGAATGCGTAGCATATTTATATCTAATTGTACACGAGTGTTTCTGTCGTCCAACCGCGTAAGAACGATGAAGTTTCAGCCCAGCGGGAAAGAACGTTTCTCTTTCGTCGTAGCTTTTATCAATCTAGTCGCTATTAATCAGCCGCAAAAATATGTTATCCTAGAATTATTACAAAGCTCAGTATGCGAGTGCGTGAGTGAGTGTGTGTATGATTGTGCGCCCGTGTGTGTAGCGCGCGTTTACCAAAGAACATTTCGCGCCAAAACATTCCTAACTGTTAATTACAAGCGAGGCATAGAGTGTGCATAGGCATCGCCGAGCATCGCCCAGCCACTCTTTGTATACGGTGTAACTATAAGAGCACTCTGTACATATGTACATAAATCGAACCGACTTTTATCTTTAACTTAACGTTCTGATAATAAAAACGACGTTTCACGTCTACGTGCGACGAACGAGAGTGTACTCCTCGCCATGCGTGTATCATTCGCGGAGATTTCAGTTTCGCCTAAGAACCGCTATCGATCACCATTGAAAAAAAAAACCATTAAGTGTACGATTTAAATTGCAACCTAGGAAGGTCATAAAGTAGCCCGGAAGAGGCATCTCTCAGTAAAGAACGAGTGCTGCTTTTTCTGAGACTGGCAAGACTTGGCGGGCGCTCTGGCGAAGAACTCGAAGATCTTTTGCTCGCCGGACCGTTGATCGTCTTCGACTTCTTTCCACTCGACTAACCGGGCCTGCGATTGCAAGATCTTGTCGGCGGTAGACCAGCTGAACCTGACGATACGCGGGAACCCGAATACAGGATCCACGTTCTCCAACAGCCACCTTTTCGTCTCTGGATCGTTTGGATATCCGCTTCCGTATTCCTTCTTCACCGAGCCCTCGCGAAACTGCCAAGCTCCAATCGCGTGATCGCGGGAAACTTTGGCGCAGATACTGGCGGCGCTGACGATGGGATAAGTGGAGTCAGCCTTCTTCGCGACAACTATCTTCAGGCCTGGGAAAATCTGCTCCAACCTAGCCTGATACTTTTCCGGCTTGCCCACGGTGTCCACGTAGATCTCTGTGATCCATGCGCCAGCCTCGATCGCGTATTTAACCAGCTCGATCGCAGAGAGCATAGACACCTCGTTCAAGGACGTTTTGCTACGACTGTGCATACTGGTTGCGATAACGTTAGGCGATATTGTATCAACGGCCCAACCAATAGCGTCGCTATTATTGCAAATATTGTCAAAAATCGCGTCCCTCTTCTCCTCTGTTAAGCTCTTGGAATCGGCACAGCCCAGATTTTTGAGGAGCTCCTTCCTCGACAAGGGAGCGTAAGAAATTCCATAAACCATGGGTCCTAAAACTGGCCCACGTCCAGCCTCGTCGATGCCAAGCTGACACGGTTCGTCTTTGCATATTTGTGGAACCTAGAAAAAGTTTGAAATCGTTCCATCCTCCATGAAGGAGGATTAAAAGGTGGATTAAATTAAAGTGTATTACTGAGAGAATTAATGGCTCGCAATTAAACGATGTTTTATTTGTAAGAAGCTTATTTTGTATTCCTATGCCACGAAAGAAACATTGTGTATCGTTTTCTTATAACTCCCTCCAAAGCAACAGAATTATTACTTTACTACAACCCTTTGAAACACGTTACATTTAATGCCTCTAACGCTTGTAAAGTGGAAATAAAAGATTATGAATCTCTTGCTTGCAAAAGGCGATTAGAGGTTACGCAATGGTCTAACAATTGCGTGCTGTTTCGAAACGCCGTTTATCATGTTGCTTTCATCATCAGCAAGAGGTTAAATCAATAACGCGTTAAACATTTTAAAGAAATAATTAAAATCAATGAACAAGTACGAATATAGAACTTTTTAACTGTATTGAACGATAGGACGCTCTTTTTTCATGTACCTTCGACATATAAACTGTATTAACGTCGTTATCCCAGGCTTCGAAGTACGGAATCAAATCCTCTTTGCAGGTAATTCGGGTATCATCTTGTGTATTGTTAGAATTCACCTCACATTTTGTTTCACTAACGTCGTTCGCGGAATTCTTTTCGTTTTCCATGATGTACGTTTATTTCTTTGCACGCTCGATGTATGAAACTTAACCTCTAAAGAAACGTCAGCGTTCGGACGAACCGCCAAAAATGTACGCGCGTGCATCGATAGGTCGTATCGAAACAGCATGGTTGCTTTCTTCTCAGAACAGAATACGGTATCTTAAATGGCAACGAGCTTGACGACCAGAATTTACTGATTTGCTATTTAAACAATTCTACGTAAACGCGATTAAACGATCGGCCGGAGATTAAAAAACGGAAAAGAAATCCCAATGGAGCTCGTGTATCGATAAACATCATCTGATATCGACTTGAACATCACACTTTCAAGGGTTTCTTCTGACTACCTGTGTGCATGCGTATACGCGTGTCCCTCGGTGAAAATAGCTGATGACGCCGTGCTGTACCGATATTCGTGTGTCGCAAAATATAATATAGCCTCTAAATAAAATGCTCGAACTGTTATCTGTATCGTTTAAGGTTCTGTTCTTACGAAGAATTTGATTTTCACGTTTTCGTGTCGACTCGTAAACGCTCTATCGAGCACAGAGCAACATGAAAGTTATTGTGAAGAAATTGCAAGGAAAAGAATGTGTTGTTGACGTGAGTACCAGACTTTTCTGTTTCTTACTTTGCTCCAGTTTACCCGGAGAACGTCGTGCAACTGAGTTATTTCGTTGCTATGCCGTCGTAATATTTCGTAAAAGTTTCGTTTATGGATAGTTCCCCGGCTCCTTTAGAGCTTACAGTATTTCCCCCGTTTTTGTTTCTTTGTTTTCGACATTGAATTCGATATGTTTCGCGGTATCTCGGATATTCATTGAATCTTCGTTTTCAAATAGATAATGCCCTCTGAAACAGTCTTGCAGTTGAAGCACAAAGTTAGTGATTTATTTGGCATAGATGTTCCACATCAGAAACTGTTGCTTACAGGCAAGACACTAGCTGGTAAGATTCGTTAAATTTTAAGTGAAACTAAAGCGAAAGAAACAATTTTTACATTTTCTGTAACATCGACTGTCTGTTTCAGATGAAAATCCTTTGAGTTTCTATCCAGGAATCAAGGATGGGATCAAGTTAAATCTGTTGGTTATTAAGAAAGCTGAAGAAGGATCTAGCAAGGAAAAGACAATATTCTGCAAATCAGGCATGCGTCTTTTGCGGGATGAAATATCTAGAGTTCTGAGGCATTATTACACAGAGTCTGAAACAGAATCAATAGTTAACGAGTTGATAAAAGACCTGGAAAATAAAGTGAATAACCTTAGTTACGATGACTTAGAACGATTAGCAACAGCACTGCTTCAAGACCAAGAGAACATAGCTTAAGGATACTTTCATTTTTTAATTCTGCTTATTATTTGATTATTATTGTAATACACTTTTATTTAATTAAAATATTGCCTCGTTACACCCTATAATTAGTAGTGTATTTTAAATGATTGTATGGGGGTATGTGCCCGAGAAGAAACTAAATGTATCAAAAGATCAATTTTATTGAAACAAACAAGTATAATTACAATCGCACTTTAGGAAATGAGCTTTTAAGGGTCGGCCATGTCCAGCTGTCGGAAGTATCTTGCAACTAGGCATATAAATAAATTCAGTGTCCCAATTTCGTGTACTTCCAACATTTTCTAAAAGGAAAAATAAATACACAAACTTAACGTGTGTAGCTTTAGGATTTGTTAGGAAAAGTAAACGATTTTTGTATCTTCCTTTAATATGAATCGTAGTTCAATTTGTATTTCTTTTAGACTATTTCCTTAAATCGCGCTACGATTTATGTCAACGGCAAGTTTAATACACGATTATGCAATAAAATTGATTTGTTAAAAAATAATAATTGTGTATATCATGTGTTACCGAATTTACGCGAATGATCGAACATGTCCTGGCCAAGGAACGCAAACAGGAACATATGTTTGGAGTCAGAGGTAGTTCTAAAACAACCAGTAACGAATATATCCATTGACCCAAATTATATCCTATCTTCTTCTCAGCCTCTATATGCTCTACCAAATACTCCAGTATTTGTTCCACCATTGGTTGATTCAAACAGAAAATTATATCCAATGTCGGAACAATGTTCTTTTTCTCCTTGTAATCGCCCAAACAAAATTTGACCCAAGCATTTTGATCATCTATACTTGGCTGCAAAGATTAGTAATTAGCTGCTTGATAGCAAAGCGATAAATTATCATTGGGCTAGTTAAAAAAAACAATGTAATATATACTAAGTCAAACTGTTGAGGTCTCCATTTACGTTTCGATGTCTGAATTTCACTTTTCAATTGACGTATGTACAGTCTGATATTGGAAAAGTCTGACAATTGACACTGCTGCCAATCAAGAGTACTGCCAAGCCACGACGGTGCCTCCACGCATCCTGATAACTTTGCATTCGAATCATTAATAGACACAGTGTTTCTAAAATATTTGCTCAAATATTACCAATGTGCTCTACAGAACGTTAAATGTCATTGATAAATTTTGACCAAACATTCCAGAAACACCTTGTAATGTTTTACAACCCACTGCAAACTTACAGGTTCAACGTCAATTGTTGGTTTTCTAAAATGTTTCCGATTAATCGCAGCTACTACAATATCGGCGCACTGTTGTGCCTCTACTCTGAAGCAGAATATTATGAATTACGCGCCGTCCAACCAGCAAGTTTTCAAGCATTTACTTACACCACCCTTTTGATGTACTCTTCGCCGGAGGATGGTGGCAAAGAGAGGTTAATATCTTCATCGATATCTCCAACTACGAAAGCAGGCTCTCTCAAACAGTCTGTCATTTTCTTTAATTTAAATTACTATTCCGATAAGGTAAATAATTCGTCTGTCTTCTTTTCACAGTATTATTGGTAGGTTATGCGTTTTAAATTGTGAATGACAGATATCCTTTTAAGTAACAAGTACACCGCTGCTCTCTGAGACGCAAAGAATTTCTGGAAATTCTTGGAAATTTTTGGAAATTACGTCACTGCGGGAGGTAGCACAACCCCGACGGAATTTTTCAGAAAAATTTAAAAAAAATTTTAAACAACCCCCCACCCCTTCTCTACTCTGATGGCCGCAAATTAAGAAGCGGCGGGAGTCTTGAAATCTTTCCGGGGAACTTAGAAATTTTTCTAGAAGAGCGTCGCAGCCTACGGCTTCGTGACATGGACTAAGCCGTCGGCTGAGAGATCACGTTGGCCGCAGGATTCGCCCCGAGGCCAACTGGCCAACCCGTGGCAAATATCTCATGCTCCAGCCCTCTCACACATACACATTCCATAGTCAACTCACATAGATTTACGCAAAACTACAGTTGTTTGCCTATCAATACTAATTCAGTGAATAGTTTCTCAACTGACCGCCATCCAAGAGAAGAGGACGCTAAAATCACCTCCGAATTTTTCGCTCACGTATGGCAATTGTTCGAACTGACGTACAAAAAGACAAAAATTAACGATATACACTCTTCTAAAGTGGAACAAAATGTTAAAAAGATCATGTATCAAATTGTAAGGGGATCCTCGTAAGAAGGCTTTACGTAATTTTAACTTTAATCTTCGTAATGATTTTAATGGGTCGATGTTCAACAATGACTAGCTTATGGTCACTGATGGTCAACAGTGAGGTTGACATCAAGATCAGCGGTCCAGTGAAGATCCAGAAATGGTCAAGAGGTGGGACCAATTGAAATAGTTTCTTTGTAGACGAGACAGTCTTACCTGTTATCTTTAACTTTGGCTCTGATTAGTCTCCCCACCCTTTCATCACCTTAGACAGATAAGCAGGGTCACTGCGAAGAATTCTTCAGTCGCGTCGCGAATTCGGGAGTGTACAAATCGCCAGAGGAGTACCGGGGACCGCTGCTGACCTCTGTCGGCCGCTGCTGACCACTACTGGCCAGCGCTGACCATGGCTGACCAATACTGACCGCTATTGACCACTACTGACCAGTGCCGGACAGTGATGACCAACGGTAAGAATTGTTTAAAAATTCTCTCCCCTCTTCTATTCTATCGTTTGATGCCAATTTCGCTTCAATGAACTGATTTTGCCTTGCTTGTCTAACCGATGTTGCTATAATATGAATATTTTCTTACTTTACAGCTGGCCCTTATGGTAACTACCCTATGTACTGACAACAAGTAGTAAGTCCACTCCACTTATTTATATTTTATTATTTTTATTTGTTTGTTTGATGTGAATTCAACTGTATTTATCTATCTGATTTTATTTGGTTATTATGAATGTTCCTTTTCTATGTTTCTACTTTTACATTGTTTGTCGAATTTATGTGAATGCTTTGATATGTATAGTATTGCAGGATATAATAATGTAGTATTGTTTTCAATCATATACTATATTCGTTTCTACACGATTCCATGAATTTTTATTTTTACCTTCTTGCTCGAATTCTCGTAATATTCTGCGGAGGTACTTTCTTTGATTCTTCCATTTCGTTTGATTGTTTGGTATTGATTCAATTTGGTGTCTCGATCCAAGTTCCTATCGTTGTTACGAATGGTCGTTTTGAGTTGTATCACATTGCGTCGATGTATATGTATACTGTATTCGTTTCGATGATACTGATCATTAGAAGAATATTCGGTTTGATACGTAAAACATGATGTCGATGGATATGCCATATTTGTTTCGATGGCACTGATTAATATAAGATTTCTATTTTTACGTTTAGCCCCTTTAGCTAGGTGATAGATTATTTTTAAGTGTTTATTAAATTTCCTACCATGTCTCACTAATATAAATATTAGTTTTGATTTCAGTTTAAATTTGGATTAATCGCAAGGACACCGAGGGAGAACGCCGCGCCCGCCGAGGGACTTTTAATTTCGAGTTGATTAGTCTTAAGCTTCGTCGCGAGTATTAAAATTAAAGTCGAAGCCTTCTTTATTATACGTGTCTCCGTGTCCTACCAAGCAATTATTCAATAAGTAGATTGTGTCTCTCGCTCGTTCCCTCGTTCCTAGCTTCGGTCACCGCTGTTTCATCGATTGAGGCATGTGATCGGCCGTGTAGCGGGCCCGACAGATCTAACCGCCTTCCCTTGGTAGCTCGATCCAGGGAAAATGGTACTCTGCTGGAAGGTGTGGAGTTTCCGTATCCTGCGGAAACGCATACCTTCCAGCGGAAGTCGACACTGAAACAGAGGTACTCTCTCTTTGTCAGACAACTTGAGTCGGGTCCTTCGGGCTCCCGGCGGGTTGCGTTGGAGCAATGGAGACCTTAGATTCGGAGTCGCAGCCGTCCGTTATCCTGTAGAGATCTAGTTAGCAAGGGCAGTAGGTTCGATCCTCGGATCCGCTGCACGGTTCAGCTTCGCGTCGCGTCGTGTCGCGTCGCGTGTCCCTCAAATTAACTTCGTCCCTCTTTTTAACCAAATAATTGCTTGGTACATCCAAGGAACTTTGTTTCCTTCTATCGTCCGAATTTTAGTTTCAACTTGACCAGACTTGAGCTTCGACGTTAATTTTAAGTCCCTATCGTATGCGTCTCCCAATATTTCCAAGTAATTATTTAACAAGTAGCTTCTCTCGACTCGTTCTCTGGTTCCTAGCTTCGATCACCGCTGTTTCATCGATCGAAACATGTGATCGGCCGTCCAGTTTGTCCGAAAGATCTAGTCGCCTACCCATGATAGATCGATTGCTAGAAATAGGAATCAATCTACCAAGGGCAGTGTTGATTCGATCCGAAGATCTGCTGCACGGTTCAGCATCGCGTCGCGTCGCGTATCCCATAATTTAGCTTCACCCCTTTTCAAACGAAATAATTACTTGGTACAACTAAACCAGAAGATCGAAGGAACATTGCTTCCTTCTATCTCTCTAGTTTAGTAATCCAGCTAAGCTTAGCTAAAAGGGAGATCGATGGAACTTTGATTCCATCTATCTCCCTTCGGGTCTCCACTCGCAGCAACCTCCACGTGGTGAGACCTGGGTCATATTATTTAGTATGTAATTAATACAATTATTAATTACATAGGAAATAATATGAGCTAATGGCTGCGTTCTTCTTATAGTTCCACATACCTTGTTCGTCCTGGTGTGCGGTCTAATAACACTGATTTCGAGTCGCAAATACGTTTTTGCCGAGTTAGTTTTTAAATAAATAATATATTACAATTTACAATAAAAAATAGAGGATTTGCGGTGTATTTATCAATGAGATCCTTACGTATTTTAATAATTTTGAAATCTTTAAATAATCTCGATCGATTGGTTATTCCAATGAAATTAATCGATCGATGCTCAATTCTGGACCATACAGCTTTCATTCCGTTAAAAAATAATAAAATTTATGTAATTTTATTTTCCGTCTCACTTCCTCTTGTGTTAATTTCTAAATCTGTTGATAACGTTGCGAGTGATACGAAAATGGTAATGGGGTCCCGGGACCCCAGAAACTCCGGCCGAAAAATTACATTAGGTGAAAGGTCTATTCATATATCTCGTCTGTGATATTAGCACAGACGAGGTATACGAGTAGACTTTTCACCTTATGGACTTTCGTGGCCGAATCTAACTGCCATACCGACCTGAAAATTCGGAGGTGATTTTAGCGGCCTCTTCTCATGGATAACGGTCAGTTGAGAAACTCACTGAATTAGTGTGGTAGGCAGCAGCTAGTGCGTGTAAATGCATACCAATTGAAAAGTACGAATTATTCGCGATTCCTTGACTAGTTAAAGTTGTAAATAATTTACTAAAAATCAGTCTATCCGCGGTTTCTATCCGAGGTATCCCTTGGGTTCATAAACAAGCTTCGCGAGACATCGGAGCTTCCCCCACCCCGCCGCCTAATTCGCGAGCGTTGCCGAGCACAGCGGACGGCCATCATTCATACTTTGAAAATAAACATAACAAGACGTGTCGAGACGTATCGGCGTTTCGCGACCGAGGTGCGTATTTCTAACCTGTTTATCCTTCCACTATTACTACTCGCGTATTACTACTTACGATCTCTTGCAATACGGTTTCGATTTAATCATTACTTAATTGTAATAATCGTTTGCGTACTTTAATGCATCGTTATTTCGTTTCTGTTACAGTCTTTTATTGGAACTCGAAATTAAGAAATAATAAGACTTGTTGGAACCTGCCAAGACGTGTCAGCGTTTCGCGACCAACGAGGTACATACGAGTTTCTAACCTTTTAATATTTCTTCATTATTATCAATTATTGTTTAATTATGATTTAATTTGTATTTCATTTCTGTTACAGTCTCGGATTGAAAATCGACGCCATGGAAAGTTTCATTGGCGCGTAAACGACACCATAACAGATGGCAGACGAGTCGACAAATTTTGGAGGGAATATTGGTAACGTTTAAACAATTACAACAAAAATTAACACCCATATTAATATTTATATATTTTTATATCATTATTAAATCATTCGTTGCAAGCATGATCTTAATTTTGTAATCGGTCATTGTTAAGATAAAATATTAAAATCGTTAACAAACTTTTTATCTACTTCGATACATATCGAAGTATATAGAAATGGCGTCGGTAGATATTAACGATAAATTGGAATAGTTTATATTAGACTGTATTCTGATCGCGATTAAATATCTCCGACTGTTATTTATTTAATTGATCCTTTATATTTCTTTATGAATTGTTGTAATTGCAATTTGCATACATATTTCGATACAAGTTTTAGAAAACGTAGTAACTGCGGAGTTGGAATATGCTATTCAAGCATAAATAACTAGCGAACTTTAATTCTTGCAAATTTCGGAATATTTATAAAAATTACGGGATATTCTAACGTTCGAGAAAGTAAACATAATCATGCTTACAACACTAACTATGAAATTTAGTGATATAATATTTATAAATTGAATAATTACTTGTACGTAATTATTTTCGTAGATAATATTTTATCGTTGAAATTATGTATTATGCAGTAGTATTAAGTAAAGCAGTATTTCTGTTGACGAACTCTTATAAGAAAATGAAAAAAGAAAACCAGTAGGATAAGCACAGGTGTGCTTGTTGTGTTTCTTGTCTCCTGTCCCTTTCTTTTCAGCTCTTTTCTTTCCAGGAAATTTGTTGGCCGCGCGCAATGCGGCCGGTAGATTCAGTGATTGTACGTAGCAACATGTTTGTTTCTCGGG